TATACAATGTATATATAACTCCATGACACGATACTGGAGGTAATAGAGGTTATTGCAGTTATGTTAATTGGTCTGTAATTAGGTGCGAGTCTATTCGTTTTTGTTTTTGTTTTGTCTTGTTTTTTATCCGAAATGACGAGTCAGTCGAGAACATTCCTCTCTGGACTAATAGTACATGTACTTACGTTATTCTAATCCTAAACAAAAAGACCACATAACGTTAGAGGAACGCTGATTATAATGGAATTGGTGACCTTTTCTTTTTAATTGTATTTCAAAATACAGTTGCATCAGAAACACGTTCCCATTTCTGTCTCCAGAGGGAGATATCATCAAAATCTTTACATTGACAATTGCGTATGCACTGAAGCATTTCTATTATTTTTAACCCTATCCGTACGCCCTGGTGTCTTTTTGTTTCCCCGGGGTTGTATTCTTCACATTTTAGAATACTTCTAGTACGAAGATCTTTTGAAACGTTCAGTATTTCTCATAAATCATTTTGACAGACTGCAAAGCAAAGCGTGCGGATCGGATAAACGAGTAAATTTTCTCTTTGGAAAGTGGTGGCACAGAGTTCCCCATGTCGTAAGGATACAATAGTAAAATACGACGTACGGATAGGATTTTTTTTTTAAAACCCACATACGCGCCCAAAAAGAACGTGCTCTCAGACCTTTGTTGAGTGCTCGTTTGTACATGGAGGATACAAAAACAAAAACAGGTAATTTTCTAGATAACACTTTAAACGTGTCCTTCCACCGACAGACAGATTGATGACATTCCGTTTTGAGAATTAATTCGACAGGGAGTATGAGAACGGCAGCGTCGATTTAGAACCCAAGTTTTAATATGTCCCATGGAGAATATCATTTTGCCAACGAAAACAATGACGACGGACGAGAGAGAACACACACAGTTATTTAATTTTCTGTCTTTGGATTGAATTTTTAGAAACAATACGGACTAGATGAATGAAACGTTCCTTTTAATCGAAAGTTTCAAGGAACGAACACACGCGTAGATGACTATTTTAATATTAGGAAGAAAATTAATCTATTCGCACTGCCCTTACCGATTCCTTTTTCTTACAGCGAAAAAGCATCCACAATCACAACTTTCCGTGTGAAGTACAACAACACTGATATCAGAGTAAAAGATGGAATAAAATTCAACAAAAATAGTTTCTCAAAGTATCAGGCTCACACGTGATCGCGCGACTGTCGTTTCGTTCTGTGCCTAGCTGGAACACCTCACTGTTGGCCGTTCGCGATGCGCCTCACGGATTTCCTCTCTCACTCATAGACTCACTCAGCCTCTCACGCGCGGCGAAGAACAAATCGAGTGGCCACACAGGCAAGGGGAAAGACGGGCTCTCGTGGTCCCTTGCGATTACGTCCCCTGGATGTGACAGGGGCGAGTAATTGTATCTGTTGAGTGGGGGAACCTCTTGTTTCTGTGAGTGCGAGTGTAATTTGTTAGGTTTTAGTTTCGTTTCGTGTTTGAGTGTCGATGTGTATTTGTGTGAGTTTGTGCGTGTGTGTGTG